CTAAATTCAAATAACGAGGCCTTCAAACTTAAGCAATAATCAATCAATTTCCACCACCATAGTAATTACTAAACCCTTGAGACTGGTCCTGGCCATAGCCCTGTAGTGTTCCCCTTTGGACTCCTCCTTGTGTCACCACATCACTACCAAATCCACCATCGTAACTCGAAAGCCCGAAACCCGATCCACCACCCTCCTGGGGGTTATTATTCGCGAACGCGAAACCGTAGCTTCCAACCGTCGGGTCAAACGGGTCAACATACCCATGATGACCCAAAAAAAATCCCGCGCTAGGGTTTTCCCCCACCGGACCATTGTTCGGGAGCCCAACATTCGGCTTGATGTCGGATAGTGCCGCGTAACCACTTAAGGACCCGTAATCGGGCCCCACATCAAGAGCCCGCGTGGCGTTCTTCATTTTGGCCTCGAAGCTACGTTTGAACTCGAATACCGATTTCTTCAATTGCTTTAGCTCCTTGTAGTTGAGCCCGTTGAGGTTCGGCGGGCTCCCTATGTGGGCCCGGCCCACTTCCCTCGTCGCCTTCTCCTCCTTGTTGTGTTTCTTCTCTCGCTCCAATTGGGCCTCCAAGTTGGCAAGCTCCATGTTGCGGTGGCGCATGATTGGGTTGTTGTGTGGGTCCAAGTAGGCCCATTCATTATCGGGCCTCTTTAGGGTGACCTGGCTGAGGAACCTGTCGGTGATGTCATCCACGCTCGGGTTCCCGAACGAATGGGCCTTGTCGCTCGGGGAGAAGACGACAATGGCGCTCTCGGCACCACAGAGAGTGCTGAGCTCGCTCGCCTTCTTGAAAAGTCCCGCGCGCCTCTTTGAGAAGGTGACCTGGCGATTTGTCTCGTTTGCGATTTTCTCGATGGCGATCCTCTGACGACCCTTTCCCTTTCGTCGTCGCCCGGTGTTGCTTTGGGAAGGGTTGTTTTGTTGGGATGAGAACTCCATTAATATTGGGGGGATATGTTTTGGTGAAGGGATTGTAGCTATGTGTTAAGGTTTGTGTTTTTTGGCCATGCAATTGGGAGAGGTATTTGTAGGGAGGGAAA